GGCGCTATGCTCGCGGCGTATAAGAACGCGCGAAGACGTGCGTTCGCGGCGCTTTACGCGATTCCGAATTCGAAGCAGCAACGTTCCACGGCCGTTTCTTAGGGAGTCCCGCGATGCGCTAGCAGTGGTGGTCGGGTCGGTCGTTGGGAAAGGCGCGAACTGAGGAAGCCAGGTGTAATCGGGGAGAGAGAGAGAGAGATAGATAGATAGATAGATAGATAGATAGATAGATAGATAGATAGATAGATAGATAGAGAGAGAGAGAGAGTGAGGGAGAGAGCGAGAGAGAGAGAGAGGGGGGGGAGAGTCGGAAGAGAATTTGCGAGGAGTGGAGAGAATAGAGGCGAGCGTGTCGGTGGTGGTGGTGGCAGTGGTGGTGGTAGCAGCGGCGGAGGTGGTGCATGCCCTCGAGGACGCGTGGCGGCGGTCATGCCGCGTGATTCGAGTCGACATCCTCATCGTTATCGTCATCGTCGTTGTCGCGGTCGTCGTCGTCGTCGTCGTGGTCGTCCTCGTGGCGAAACGTGGGAGAACACCGAGGCGACCAAAGTGTCGCGTGGTTGAAGAAGAAACAAGGTTGAAGCAGCGCGCGAGCAACGGAGAAACATGAGCTCGATCGACTTCGACGAGGTGTTGGTGCACGTGGGAGAGAAGGGCAAATATCAGAACATCATGTACTATCTCCTCTGCATACCCGCCACGCTTCCCGCCGCTTTTTTGGCCTTCTCGCAAGTGAGTGTGCAGAGAGAGAGAGAGAGAGAGAGAGAGAGAGAGAGAGCGAGAAAGTGGGAGGGAGAGAGAGGGGGAGGGGCCACCCCATCGTTCTCTCAGTGGCCGGTAGCAGGTGGTTTCATTCATCGGAAACGCGGTGGTTACAGGTGTTCGTGAGCGCGTCGCCGGAGCACTGGTGCAAGATTCCGGAGCTGGACAACCTGACGGATCTGATGACGCTGGAGGAGAGGAAGGCGTTGTCTCTGCCGTACGTGGAGAAGTCGGACGGGAAGGTGAAAAAGTACTCCAAGTGCAAGATGTACGACGTGAATTACACGGCGATCGTGGAGTCGTGGCTGGAAGGGGCGGTGCTCGAGAACGGGACGGAGGACGAGGGTGGCGAGCACCGCCGGTCAAGGACTGGATTGCCACCGCCGCCGGTCGGTAACCCCGACTGGCCGGTGACAAAGTGCCGAAACGGATGGATCTACGACACCCGGGACTACGACAGCACTCTGGTCACCGAGGTAAACCCGACTTTCTCCCTGTTCTGTTGTTTGCCTGAGGGCGGTATAATTTTCTTACTAACATGAGTTAACAATCGCTCTCTGGATGAATTCCTCGCTAAGCTCGAGTGGAACACAGAGGAGTCGTGTTTCACTTGGGGGCAATTCGCCTTGGCCTTTGCCGGCTGCTCGCGGTTCGTTCGTAGTCCCGTTCGTGGAACGAAGCGCGCGTGCTCGTGCTCTCACTCCGGCCCCCGATCGGTCCTCTCGCGTTAAGCTCCTCTTTCCGCTCGGTAATATTCTTTTCCGTGAAAGCTCGCGGTTGAACGAGTCGGGGGCGGAATCGAGCTGCTTGGAGGCCGGGGCCGGATGTTGGAACGCGGTCGGCGG